ATCTTGGCCTTGAACTAATATCAGTGTTTTGGAACAAACACCTCAATGCGGCACGCTGCAGAAGGAAGGAAGCAGAATAGAAATTAGATCTCTTTCCTTTCCTGCATTATTTCTTTTAAGTGCAGTATTCTTACATATGGAATAAACATTTCCTGTTGTAAAAGTACTGTAAGAGCCTGCAGCATCCAAATCACTGATAATACACTGTCACTGAAAACTGGAAGTCAATTAGACCAGCATGTTTAAGGAAGCATTCAAAGCGTGCAGCTGATCAGCTCTGCAGTGCTCCGAAAAGATGGTGAGCATGCACTGCCTGATAACTGCTGTGACTGTCAGCAACTGCAGCTTTGCACTATGGAAGGAATTACAAACCTTGACTCGACATGCAGCATAATGATACAGGTTCATTTGATTCCTGTTTTTTGTTTTGTATCATCTGTGTATCTAGACAAAATTGCATGCGTATTTTATCCTCTCTATTCCATGTGCTTTAATTCTGCAGTGCAGATACTTTATTTATCTCTGCCTAGAATAATGCTGGTTTGTAACACTATTCCTCAAGTTGTCTGACAATGCTATTAAATCCACGCTGTGCTAACCACCCTGTCATTGCACTGCAAGAGCAGCCACAGAAGTGGGAATCCAATTTAATACGAGAAAACTTTTATTTTGATTAAAGTGCTTTTCTCATTCCTGGTTTTAGGAAAATGTTTCAACCATACTTTTGCATCCTATACAAATGCTTTAAAAATTAGCACAACAGCGTGAGAAATTCCAGGAATTCCTAAGGACATTGAGTCTTACTTTTGATCAGCCTTTGTCATCTGACTCTGCTGTAGCAGATCCAAAGTTTTCTTTCTGGAAGGTTGCACAAGACACCATAACATTACAGTGACTAAAAATTCCTGATGATGATGATCTTAAAATCCTAATTCCCTGGACAGCAAAAACACTTACGTAAGACCCAGCATACCTGAAAAGGCCCTTTAGTTTCTGATGATCAGGCAAGCTGTGGATCATACTTCATGGCTATGCTGTGGGGGCGGATCCTACAAAGGGTGAGAGATGAAGGACAGGAGTCTTTTTTTATTTGTACAAGGCCGGTTTTTATGCCCAGGATCAATCAAATAGTTTAGTGGCTGTAATACGTGCTCGTTCATCTTTCCAAGACCTCGTTTCTCAGGGATGTTCAAAATTATAATTTTTATCTGTCTCTATCATGGTTGGATGCAGACTTCTATTGTGATAGAGTGACCCGCACAAGTAACTGCAGAAAAGGGAAGTGAGAATCAATTTCTTTAGAAGACTTTCTCTGCTGGAAGTACTCTGGGTACACAAAAAGGGGAAGCCTTGAGAATCTCATCTGGTTTTTGTGTGATACAATTACAGGCAATCTGCTGAATGGACTGATGGGCAGCTGGAGGAATGGGAGAAAAGGAAAACTGAGAGTAGCAAAGGTGGGAACGTATCTTAGGAAATGAGGTAAAAGAGAGAGGAAAAGATCAGCATGGGATTTGCTCCTTTGTGCTTTATTCATTGCATAAATCTGAAGGAAGAGCCATGTTCCGTGTTCCATGTTTTCACTTACGAGTTCCAAAAACCTACACTACTGCTGTGTGTTCTTTTCTCTTTGTCTTTCATACATAATTTTTTTCAGGAGCATCTGTGACCAGTTAGTTGAGTCTTTTATTCTCAAGCTTCCTTGGTCTGGTTTCCTACCATAATTCATCTTTCCTTCGCAAAAAATATTTCCAGCTTCTCTTCTTGCAGTCCCTGTGCAAAGAAATAAGCACTGTTTCGTTGTTCTCTAGCACCAAAGTATGCAGCTTCAAAGTTGCATAAGCTCAGGTGTTTCAGTGAGTGGTAGGGCAGAAATGTGTCATCCTGACCATAGTGTTGAAAGCAGGTCCATACAGCCTCTCAAAGTTTGGAAGAATGAGAGAAAAGGAAGAAAAACAATTTGCTTTAATGGAAGGAAGCTGTGTTGTAACTCTTTTCAATGTCCTATGATCATAAAGGACTGAATTATTCTGTTCCTGGAGCTTCAAATTAGTATCATCCACAGAACAGATGTGTGTCATGCACAAAGAACAAATTATATATACAAATCATATAAGTTTAAACTATAAATCAAATGCTGTGTGTATATATATATATGACACTTTGGAAGTGTTTATCTAGTTTATCCATTTCTAAGGTGAGATGTGTTAGTTTTGCTGCTGAGAGGTGAGCATGTGCTTGGCTGGGGTTTAGGTAGTGCTCTGTTTTCTCTTATTGTTTTCCTCAGTAAGGAGAGGAGACCTGGTAAAGCCCTCTTCTAGTCTCTGTTTACATCAGCACTTTCGATCTGGCTGCATCCAAAACAATTATGTCAAAGCAATTGCCTGCATTTGTTTCTTAGTGTGTTCTCTGGCAGCACTGTCGCTTGAGGGTCAAACTGGAATACATTAAACTGGAATTGGGGCAGAAACTGCAGCCAGCTTCAGGTCAGTGATGCCTCTTGAGATTCGTGAAAGTGACACTTCTGGGGTTCATTGCATTAACTTCCATAGCATCGCTGTGTCTGGCCTGGGTGAGTTACAGAGGCGAATCATTAGTCTCACTTCTCCCATTTAATTCTCTCTCTGTGTGTCTGGAGTAAAAGGACAAGCCTAGCATTTGGTTTATACTTTAATATTTCAGAAAGGTTTTTGTCAGTCCATATGTTAAAGATACTTACTTTTATGCATTTCTGTTTAGGAATTAGCCACAACTACTCTCTCTTTTGAAGTGAATTTGTGGATTCTAGCTATATGTGGATTCCACTAGTCTAAGTGGAAAAATACTGCATTTTTCACATAAGCAAGCTTTCAGAAGGCCTAAAAAGCAAGCTTGCACAACTGCTTAACTGGACAGCCTGGTACTGTAGGATGTAGATGGGGATGTGCCAGAGGAAAGGGGGAGAAAAATGCATGTGGGAGGACAGCAAACATTAAGGTATAAAAATGCACTATTCAGACTGTACTTTATCCAGCTTTGATTCATCTTTTGTTAGAAGCTCTGCAATCTTGATCAAGATCAAGTTTTCCAAAAATTTTGCTCTTCAGTGAACAAAGAACTGCCAATCACACATTTGTTTTTGAGCCTTGAGATCTGTTGACAGGATTACCAGGTTTAGCAGAGTTGGTTTGGTGGTGGCATGTGTGTGAGCGCATGCACATATAGGTACATAAATATCACATTTGGATGGAACTTCTTTCCCTGACATTTTCACAGTTTAGTTTAGTGCACTCTGCAGAAGTTCTTTGACCAGTTTACATAAGATGGGATGCTCCCTCTGTATTTGTAACCTAGTAGTACAACTTTGCTGTGTTTTAGCATGCATCAATAAGAGACTGAAAGTTTGGAAAACTGTTGAACAGTAAAATATCTGTAGAGTCATGAATAATTAACTGTAATGAAATTTTTATATAATATAATGCCTTTAAAATCTTCAGAGCAGCATATGTGAACTAAGTTTGAGCTCAAATAATTGAAATTATTTTATGTATTATTTGCAGAATGTACTTTGCAGCATTCGATCATAGATGGGTTCATACCAGAAGCTTAAAATAAGCTGGCACAAACCAAACATTCCCCAGCCTTTGTCCCCCCCACACATTGATGATATTAATATTTTTGGCCAAAGGCCTCGCTAAAGACAGACAGCATGAACAAAGACCTTGTGCTACGTCCTTAAAAATCACCAAATCTAGATATTGACAAGCTGTATGAGAAGCAAATTGAGTAGCCACTGCCCTCCACAGAGCACAAGGTCCTTAGGAGCCCACCTGCCAGCATCCAGCCTGGGAACACAGCAGCAGAAGTTTCCTTGGTGGCAGCCAGATCCCTCAGCAAGTGATAGGAAAGGAAGTATGCATGTCCTGAAGGAGCTGAGGGGTGCCTGGTCAGAGACTAGCTGGTTTCCTGAAGAAGGTAGCTGGTCCTTACGTTCATCCTGAAAGGCTGGGAGAGGAACTATCTACAGGATAGAGAAGAGTCCTTCCTGAGGTCACCTTCTTTGGCTGTGGGATCCTGGGGTAGGATCTATCTGTAAGCTGCAGACAGTAGATCAAGCGACTTGCTGAAAGAAGGGCTCGTGGGTTCTATCTACAGAAAGTTGTTAGAGAGCTATAAAGCCTTCCATTTCCAGAAAGTCACTTCCTTGTCATTTCAATTCTCAGCAACTTTGTGCAGTGAAGTGTTGTGTGGAGTCAAGTGGTGGCAATCCAGAGAGAGATGTCTGCAGATCCTATAAAGGGATGACTGCTATCCATACTAAGACAGTACCTCAGCCCCAAAAGACTGAGTTTTCCCTACAGTCATTCAGTGTGCCATGAGCAGGAAGGCTGCCAGGATTCCCAAGAGGACCGAGCACATTTTTACTGAAAACACAGGACACTGATGCTGTGATTGTTCCCCTGACCTCCAATATTTTGGAGGGTTATAGATATCTACTATAGATATCTACTAGAGGTCCCGCTAACCATAGCTGAATGGATGTTCATCCTTAAATCAAGCTTGATCATCACAACTTAGCAGAGGTGGACAGCACATCACATGTGATTTGAAGGGTTAATTAGTGGTTAACAACCCCTACGTGATCATTAGTATTAAAAGAAAAAGAAAAAAAAAAGCCCCTGCAGTCTGGATTGGATCAGTTTCCAGTTCCACTGAGTTTTCCACTTTTGCTATAGACCCTACAGTTACCAAATTTATTTCCCAGATGAACACTCCTATGCTGTGAACAAAATAACACATTTTCCTTTAACCTTTTTTGTTTATAATGAAACCTTCTGCTCTTCATTGTTTTCAGTGCTTTAGTCTTTTTCTTCTGGACACGCTTCATTTTTTTCAACACTTTATTTGAAAAAATGAAGTGGCAGAACATGCTACTTTATTCAAGTAGAGGGAGAACAAGAGTCAACTACAGAGTTACTATAACCTACATACTCATCTTTTGATTTCATTTGTTTCTACAGCTGAGGCTTGCATTAGCCCTTTTGGCCACAGTGTTTCATTGGGAATCCATGTTCAGCTGATCGCCCACCAGGACGCCTGGTCTCATATTTAGTCTCTGCTTCAGAGGATAGAGTCCTCTCTCTCCCTCTCATCCTGTAAGTATGGGCTCTATTCTTTTTCTAATACAGTGGTTTTACACTTGGCCATCTTAACACCTATATATTGGTTGCTCACTCCCATCTTTCTGATCTCGTCTTGCTCTGTCTCAGACTTGTACTTTTGTTTGTTGGGTTTTTTTTTGCTGTCCCCACTCTTGTTATCTAACTGTAATTACTTAACTTTAATCCATCTCGCTGATAAGGCTATTGAATAGCAAATAAATGGTCACTAGTTCCTGTGGGAAGCCAATAGGAATCCATCTGTTCTCTACTAATTTCCCATTTACAGTTACACTTGGACTTCTTTCATTTATCACCTTTTTAATACATCTAATATGACTGTGGATTCAGACATGACTTCATCATAAAATATATTTGACTTTTTTACATGACTGCACATATTACTCTCCATATATGGACACCTGCTCTGAATGGATGAATGGATGGAGCAAATTCCACATGAACTACAAAGCATTCAATTTCTTTGATATTCTGCAGATTGAGTCAAATGACTTAGACTTCTAATACTGTCAGCAGCACTGCCTTCATCATGTGAACTTGTAATGTTTGTATGAAATTACATCGGATTAGTTTGACAGGGTCTGTTTTTCTTAAAGCCAAGTTGATTGACTTTAATTACAGAGCTTTGTTAAAGCATATATATTATTAATCTAGTCCTGTGTTTGCTGTTCTAACCTCTACAAAATACTGGAAACAAGCCAACTCGCCTGTAATTATATTTTTTCTTCTTAAACACTGACCCAGCGTGAGCCACCTTCTTGCCCCCAGTACTTCTGCAGCAGACCAGAACTACTTTACAAGCAGCAGCAGCAGCTTGAAAGCTAGCCCTCCAAAAGCTTCTGAGACAATGAATTTGAAACATCCAGAATCTTGTACCACTGCTAGGTGCTACTGTAGTGGGAAGTTTTTTTGTCATGATCATAAAAATAACACCAGGACTTTTACCTCTGTGCTAATCAGAAATATTTACTAAATCACTTCTGTCTCTGACGTATTGTTAGGAATTACTCTACTACTTTTATTGTTTGGGAACCATCTTTCATAATATGCTTATAAGAATGAAAAATCACAAATCTGATTTTATCTGTTTTCATTTTTTCCTAGTATCTTCTTGCATCCTTTATGTAATCTTTATTTTATCTTGTTATTATCTTTTCTTCTTCGTGTTTTGGTTTATATATAATACGTATTTTTTCACTTCCCTGGTAAGCCCAGCTGTTGGATTTTTCATTGTATGTTATTTTTATCTAGTATAGTTTTCTTTTCATGGTTGTAACACTTTAGATATTAAGGAAATGTCTTAAACCATATGCAGACATCAATAATATTCTTTAAATTCTGTCTCCAGCCTGATTTGACTCTCACTTGCTATAGTTTTTGATAATTCCTCTCAGAAAGAATACATTTGTTTTAATTTATGTATAGATGAACAATGTGTTCATATACTGTCTAAAATTTTACTGGTCTGGATTTGATTGCAGATTGTGTTAGTTATTTGCAAAGAAAGCGTCAGTCCTTTTCAGTGTAAATAAGTAACCTTCTGGTTTGTGATCATTTATTCTCTACTGTGACAAGATTTACAGTAGGGACTGTCTAGTTCCTCTGTAAACCATCTAAGTCATATGGCCAGCATGACACTGCACTTGTGCAAGCACTGCTGCTCCTGCGTGTTGCTTTCCCTGTCCGGGGCAGAGAGCAAGTCACCAAGTCCCACTGTGCTTAATGTGGTAGGGTGACCAAGGGATTTAGCAATGTGCTGTGTAATTTTGCTGTTGAAGCTGTGGTCACAATTCTGAGTTCTCCATTCCCCTTGGTGCTGCAAGGCCCGTATGGTGTATGATTCACTGACAAGGGTCAGCTTACTGGCAAGAGGCACTGAGGAAGCCATTTGTTCCCTCCTGTTCTGTGATTTCAGCTATCTGTAACATTCCGGGTAATACTTCAACCTGAATGTATCTTGATTCATAAATATCCAAGATTACTTTCAAGTTCTCGGCCACTCAAACAGACGTTGTTTGTGACACATAGGACATGTGACAGAGGAGTCAATTCCCCTCTTTCAACTGGACTTCTTAAGTTCATTACAACTATTCCTTTTTGAGATTCTAGTAACCAAAATCTAGCCATTAGTTTCCAGCCATTAGCAATGCTACTCTGCAGAGTAAGGTTTTATCCATTTTTATAGATGCTTGTAATTAGCACATAAACAGCTGAAAAGGGTCATCTTCTTACAACTTCTGCTTTGGTTAATGTTGTGCTTGATACCATGCTTTTGTGCTGAATGTGCTTTTGGTTGCTTATTTAATCTGGCTTCTCTTACAAGCCTGATCAATGGAGTGTGTATTCTTTTCCTGTTGAGAGGTCACTTTCTCTTTACAGCACTCTCTTCCCGTGATCTGCAAATCTGACATTCTGCAGTCTTCAGGATTTTGTATTTTTGTGTGAGGTAGGAGGGAAGAGAAGGAAGTCTAGACAGGATCTCCAGATCTCCTGAATGATAAGCAGTTATGTAGTCACAAGGCACTCACTTTCAACGAAACCCCTGGAGCCTGTCTGCTCCAGATTATGATCCAGTTTTGCTCATCTCTTTTGTATCAAATACGAAGAAGCAGAGAAATCTCTGTTGTCTACCTGTTCCTCTGCAGTGCTATATTTCATTCTCCTGGTGTGGATGGTTGGAGCTATTATCAGGGGCCCTTTGGGTCATTGCTTTATAACCACTCATACTCAGAGAACCAGTTAAACTGGGGAGAGCATGCAGGGATTGGGAGGGGGACCTCAAGCGCCATCTGCAAAATACTGCCAGTGTCCAGAGGATGTGCTTGTTCATGCATGTGCTATTTGCTTGTGGACCACCTGAGGTTTTTTGGGCCTCTGTGCTCCCTCGGATCACAGGTCAAGGAACACTCTTGTAAATAATCCTGCATGCCAGGTTGAGCAAATGTCCACTTAGGCAAACATCCACACTCTGTTCTGCATGACTAACAGGGTCTTCAGGTATGTTTTTAGACCTTTGCAAATGTATGTTCCTTCACAGGCCACATTTAAAGCACAGTTTCTTCTCTTAAACATATAAACTTTAAGAATGAAAGAGGAAGCAAAATAAATAACGAAAACGCACTTCTTCTGGCTTCAAGGGGGGACGATTAAAAATATTCACATCTGATGTTTTTGTCACTCATCGAGTCATAGAAGAATGAGCTGAAAGAGACTAGTCCATCATTTTGAGCAGAGAGAGTGCTATGTCTGGTGTCTAGCTTTCACATTGCCTTCGGTTGTTTTGTTGTCCTTGCCAATAGAAAGAATTTTCATCCCTAACACGTAACCTAAATATCCACAGCTGCCATTCAGTCCATTATTTCATTACAACTTTCTGCTTAGGCCATGAAGGATTAAAGTAGGGCCTCCTGCCTGTAGCTGCACTGAAGAGACTGCAGTAGCTTTAATCTAAAGTATAGGGCTCTGACCTGTAGCTGAGTCACTACACAAGTATCCCTTGCAGATCATGTGAAATCCCTTGCAGTATGTGAAATAACGTCAGGTTCACGTTGAAATCAAAGTCATGCATCCTTCTTTCTCTTACTTGCCCTCAGACATGGACATAAATCTTTAAATCAGACCTACCCTATGCTTAGTGATACTTAGGTATTTTAATCAATGTGAAAGGAGCCTGCAGCTGTTTGCTAGCTTCCTTTGGAAAATGCACATTATCACACCAGAATCTATTTTCATGGCCCTTAGCTGATATCTGATCACTTTTTAGCTTAACCTTCTCTGCCTAGCAGAAGTGACCTGCAGACCTAGAGTCCTTGGCAAAATAAAGTTGAGAATAACTGGACTTAGTGGAATTGTAACTGAACAGCAGAGAACTGTATGCATTGGCTCTGCCACTCTTCTGCATGAGACAGTGCCGGTGAGGACCTGTATCCTTCTCTGTCCTATTGTCCAGAATGTTCTTCACTGTAGTCTCAGCCTCCTGCACTCTCTCTCCAGATTTCAAAATCTCTCTTCAAAATGGAAGAGATGGTAGTATGTAATCTGGCAATCCAAATTCATCTCCTGGTTGCATCCCAGTCTTAACCATCAGGTTAATGGTTTAACCTGTATAACTCTGAAGTTATTTTCCAGGCTGGGAACAACCAGACATCCACATTACTTGCTGTGGTGAACTGACTCTGGCCAGCAGCTAAGCTCCCACCCGGTCACTCGCTCACTGTGCCCCAGCAGGAAAGGGGAGAGAAACAGAAGGGCAAAAGCCAAGCGAGCTCACGGGTCAATATATAAATGGTTTAATAAGTGGAAGAAATAAAAAGAAAACAAGTGATGCAAAAGTACTCCCTCAGCACCTCCCACGAGCAGAGCAATACCAGCCAGCCTCAGAGCAACAGCTGTTTTCAGAGAACTCCCCCCCACGCTTATCGCTGAGCATGGTTCCCTTGGGTTGGTTTGTGTCAGCAGTCCCAGTTGTATCCCCTCACAGCCTGCTGCCTACCCCCAGCCCACTCACTGCGGGGGTGCAGGGTAAGAAACAGAGAAAGCCTTGATGCTGTGCTAGCATTTCTCAACAGAGACTAAAACACTGGTGTGTTATCAGCCTGTTTTGGTCAAATCTAAAGCATGGTCACCGACTAGCTGCTGTGAAGAAATTGACTCCATCCCAGGCAGACCTAGTACTCTTACCTAAGGTAATTCAGCTGTTAAGCAGTGAAACCACAGTGGCAACAGCTAGATTTGAGAAAATAGGTCCCACTTGTAGCACCATTTTTCTTCTGTGTCAGTGTAGGCAGAGTTGTAGTCCATTTCCACTACTGACATACTCAGACTTCGATGCTCCAGTTGTTCAATTGCCTTTTTCACCACATGGTTTCCTTCTTCTCTGGGGTCTCCACCTTCAAGTTTTTTTGCTGTTGTAGCTAAAGCCATTTGCAGTTCTGGTAAGAAGACTGGAGATTTCTTGCAAGCTGGTCTCAGGCAAA